TTAATCTGGATAGGAAGCAAGGACTAAGCGAAGTTTGAGATAGGCATAGTGAATTTAATTGCAGACGCAGGTTATTATTACTAGAGTCATATAAAAGCATATTAGACAATACTAATTAACTGCAACTGTTCAGGAAACCTAGATTAATATCACAGTGAATAACCCAATGAAAGCCTCTGCACAGCACAACCAAAGAAGGTACAAGATCTAATTTCTGCCCTTCTTCGTTCAGACAAATCCAGGAACATGCTGATCCGTTGATGTGTAAAGAATGCCATAGAAAACAATACTAAATATGGTGATGGTCACCTACTATAGCTATGATAAATTGTCACCACTTTTGTAATATCCGAATTCCTTATAAGCAATTTATTTAGCTTTTATATGCTTGGTTCAGATGAGTGAAGGAGATACTTGAATAGATTGCAAAGCAAGACATTGAAAAATTAAAGGCCAGCCTTTCAAAGACCTCTTGATGTATCTTATTCCAAAGGTTTTAACAAAAAGAAGCATATAATAAACACAAAAAACAATTGAAAACATCCTGCGTAGGTCACCTCCACAACAGAGGTGGAAAAAGAGGTTAACTATCAAAACAATATTGATGTCTTCTTATCTTTATGCTGGGTAAACACACAGGGCTGCTTAGCTGTATCACCTTGCCATAGCACCTTCTGTTATGGTTTCTATTAGCAGTTCAGCCTTATTTGCCTGAACCTGCTGAATAAAAATCTCATAAACACCCCTACTCAGAGCATCCTGTGTATCACAAGAGGCAGAAAGACAGGCTGTGGGGTGGATGAGTCTGTCTTTCAATGCAAGGTTTTGTGTAAACCACCATATGAGTTTGATATGGTTTGGGGGGGTTTGGTGTTGTGTGAGTTTTCTTCATACCCTACAACTGTCCGTCACAGTGCTCTGGGAAACCTCTCTTTGTATCTCCCCTTAAGCATATATCAGCTAGTCCTAGTTCAATTTTCCTCTGCTCTTTCCTTTTGAAATCAGAGTTAAAAAATAAAATACTCGATAAAAATGAAGTAAAAGCCCTATTTTCCATAATAAGCTGAAATGCTTTAGTTCTCCTCATTCCAACAGCCTGGAAAACGGTGCCCGGACAAGATCTTTGCTTGTTTGTGACAGACTTTCTGCTGCAATACGTTTCCTTGTCCTTGGTCTCAACTTACTCACGAGGTGGCACCAGAGCTCAAATTTTTGGAAACACCATTCTGAAACAGTGGATGCCTTTTTCTAACCTTCTGGCAAATACACCTTTTGCTTTGTCAGGGCAAAGTGAAAAAGACCAGAAGGGCATTCACAGTGAAAGAGTAATGGGACAACCTGTCCAACTGGCACAGGAGATGGCTGATCAGAAAGTAATAAGAAGTTAAATATGACACACTTAGCATTTCCAGTGCATTTTATCAAACAGTAATGAAAGAACTAGTGCTATTTGAATAAATTGTTTACCATTATTTTCTAACTGATTAAAAAATCACCATCCCTTAAGGAAGATTTTCCTGTTTTGCATCACTGAAGATGAGGGGTGATTCTTCATTTACAGGGTTGCTTTGAAGTTATGTCTTCACAGTACTTTCCTGTTTATAGACTACAGGTATATAAGGGTGAAAAAAATACACATTTCAAGCCTTTTGTTGCTTTTTTTGTGACATCTCAGTCCCTGCCCTTCCCACCAGCTTACACCAAAGCAAGGAAGCCTTCTCATGAATTTTACTCTGGCCTTTTCTGTAACATATCTACTGACACATCCTTTCCTCTTGATTTCATCCCTCACCTCCCCTTCATAAGCTTTAAATGTCTGGATAGCCATTCCCCATTAAGTGGGTGGGCTACCATTCTTTGGAAGTCTTAGCTGAATGCAGAATGCCCCACCCTACTGCAATTCTAATATATGTCTTTCCAAAAAAAGAATTTTTGACTGTCTTTAAAACTCGATGTGTTACTTTTCTTCTAGAATAAAGCTTATTTTTTTTTTTAACCTAAATTAAAATATTGGTGAATATCAGCACACAGACTATGCCTGAGCAAGCCTTCATCCAGCTAGCCTGAGTGAGTACTGAAGTCCTTTACAGTTTAACTTTGGTGTGGTGGACTTTTTGTCTGGTTTTGAAGTAAGTTCAGAAAGACCTGAAAATATCTTTTTTTTTCCCCTCTTTTATTTTTCCTTATCCTGATGCTTAATTTCTAATACTGATTAGGAAAACAGCTGCAGAATATGTGCAAATATCCCTCCTTGCTAGAAATCTGTGGACTTGTCTCATGCTTCAAGCTCAGCACAGACACCAGCATGCTGTTGAAAGGAGGCCTTAGGGACTTACATTTCAAACTCATTTGCAGTGATTTTATGTGATATTTTGTCCTTTGATAGGCAGAAAGATAAGAGCAAACAAGATCCAAATGACATTTGTGTACTTCCCTTCTGTGTTAAACCAGCTTCTCTTAAAAATATGCTGACTAGAGTAACTTAGAGCTTCACTTACATTGCTCTGTTGATGGTCTTATTAATTTGCATGGAAAACATTGCCTTATTTGTGCTGGTCCATTTAGTTCCCTCTTTCTCTCGCTCCCCTCTTCATTGTGCAGCATAGCTCTTTAGGACAAGAACTGCCCAGGAATCCACCTTGCCACTTATGTGTTGCTATATCTGAAAACCATTTTTTACTTTTTTTTTAGTCTAGAAATATCCTTTGCTTCCACTCAAACCATCAGGGAGCCTTCTGGCAGTGAAATGGATGGTGCAATCTCACTGTTCCACAATTATTAACCTGAGCCCTATTTCTTGCAGTACTTGAAAAAATGTCTGGACTATAATAATTGGCTGCAAATTTCCCATAGAAATAAGCTGTATAAATACATCATAACATTGAAGTCACTTGTGAAATGGCCATATAAGCAGAACTTTTTTTAAAAACTTCTGCTTTTTTAAATGCGTGTGTAAGTAGTACCCTCACTGTACAGAAAGGTGTGCCTCTCAGAGAGAAGTGAATGCTTAGGGGGATTTAGCTGGCTTGCAGTGGTAGCAAACCTGTGACTCCCCACTGATACACCACTACACAGACCTCCATCAATCCTTCCTCTTCAAAGCAAGCATCATTCACATTTGTAGAAATAGACACAAAACAGAATACAATCACAATGCGGCTACTTTCGCCTCTAACAAGGATACACATAAAATTACAGTGAAATATCTTAAGACAACTGTCCAGCATTGTGCATTGTTTCTTTCTGTTGCACTGTCCTGCAGAACTTGTAATCAGAGAACAACTATTTTTCTATTAATAAAATGTTTAACTTCATACCATCTCCTCCTTTATTCTGAACAAAAATTCTAGTTGCTTACTTGTTCACATTTTGAAGTTGGTTAGGATGAGCTCTCACAAAGAACGTGCTGCTGCTAGCCCCCTCTCAAGCTCAGCCAAAACAAATTAGTTTGAATTTTCAATCATTCCTTCAGCTTTAATTGGAAGTCATTTTTAAAATCCTGTTATAGATTTTTTTGATGGATTTTTTTGCAACTTTTGGCTTCTCTGGTAAACATACCTCTTGAAAAACAACTCTTTGCTATACTGATGAAATCAGATTCTTTTCCCTTGCATAGCTCCACCACCTCTCAATTTCATAATGACTGAAATGTTGAAATAAGAGTTTCACAACTCGACCTAATAATTTCCTGGGTACGAGTTAATTAGTTATGACCCATCTACTGAGTACAACATTGCTCTGGGTTTTTTTTGTTTCTCCAAAGGTCTGCCCAGAAACACAGGTAGTATCTCAAAATCCATTCATTAAAGTTTCTTCACTTATGAGAGATTGTTACCCATGCCAAAGAGGTTAGCAAAATGTATATGCTTTATACGCATATGTATTTACATATATATATTCATATATTGGAAACACATATGATTACCACCACAAGTTCAAAAGGAAACCACAGCTGCAAGTAGTCATTCTCTTCTACGCATTTTCTTTAGTGAGAAAGGTAGCAAGGAATTTCTGGTAAAGAATCCAAATATTGTATTCATTTCATGTTCGGTAAAGTCAGACTTTCCTTCCAATTAACTGTTAATGTCACAATAAACCTATAATTGAGGTAGGTCAAAATCTAGCTGTGTGGAGGACACATGAGAATTTTCTCTCTAGCTCTAGCAATGTAAATATGTTTTCCAGAATAACACTTCTCCTTTTCCAGACACCAAATTCTATTATCCTACACCAACCCAATATGAAGAAAAGGCCTGCAACATTTAACACAAATTACCCAAGATGACCTTCAATTTCCCAATAGTTTAGCATGTTATTGTTCAAACGAGTAATTGGAGGCCACCATAATAAAGACCAGCAGTGTTTGCATGCATCAAAGAACCAACAAGGAATTCTTAATTCCACCAGTGCACCTGAGGGCTGTAACAACTCATTTGTACAGCATCTGGCACAATTGGGACGGTAATGCTAAGCATGAACTCTGACCAACATAGAGGTATTGATAGTACTTTATTCACTTTGGAGATAATATAAAAAAGTTACACAACTCATCAGGAAAAAGATAAAAGTGTTACACTCTTTATGAACAGTTTTTTTCAATTTTTTTTTTCCTGTGTTCTAAGTGTAACAGGTTTATTTACTCTGGAATTTAAATTAAAAAGAACAAGATAGATATCAGTAGTGTTTTCATCTTGTTAAATGATTTTAATAAGTTAGCTTTAGTTATTTTTCTTACATCTGGCTTGTGTAAAGCCTAGCTGAAGTGAAATGAGAAGGTATAGGGTCAGCTATACTGTGTGAGATTGTTGGTTTATTAACTAATTAAATTATTTACTGATTTTTCTCTCCTGCACTTTACACAGACAACTTGAAATTAAATGCAGAAAAGCAAGACATACAAATTTCCATGGGTTAACTTTATTTTCAAAATTTATTTGCTTTTTATAGATGAAAACTCACTTTTTGACTTGGGATAAATAATGGCATCAAGAGATATAAAAGCCATTCAGAATAAAGATGCTGAAAAAATACATTCCAGGTTACAGGTTTTCAACATAATACATATGGGCTAAGTAACATTCCAGACAAACCGCACTGTGTAAAGCCTGTATATTATATAGACAGCTGAGGCAAATGTGAAGACCTTCAGCAACAAGACTGAGTGCATTGCAGGAGCACGAAACTTAGTTATCACTTCCACATAAAGCCACAAGGATGTTTTCATAATCCCCTTTGAGTTCATCCTGTTGATTTAAGTACAAAAACCCACAATTGTTAGGATAACAAACCCAAGTGAGCTAAATTTCAGTAAGAATTCAATATAGATATACAAAACATCAAACCTTAATCTAAATAAAAAAATCACTTGATATCACATGTGTTAGCCAGAGACTAAGCTTGAACTGAATACCCTCACTGCAGTTATTCATACAACCTAGAAATAACACACACATTTCCAGAGTGGAGCAGAGATAGGCAAAGGCCAATAAAAATACTGGCAGGTCTCATGGCATAAATATATAACAGAACCACTGAAGATTTCTATCCACCCAGGAGCATAAGCTTTTCTTCTCTAGATAAAGTGAAAATGCTTTCCTTGCCCAGTGATCTCCAATGATCATTAATGTTAAAACACTATACACATTGGATCTCGGATTATCTCAAACACAGGCTAATAGTACAGTGATATTTGATTCACCATAGGATCACTTATTCAGCCGGGAAAAAAGGGATAGTATGCATTAAGTATGCACTGTAAGTTTTCTCAAATTTGAATCTACTTTGTAGAGACATACAAAGTGTTTAGTGTAGCCAAGCTATGTCTCAAGTCATTTGGATGCAATCATCACTTTGGAACATGATGAGGTATTGTAACTGCATACCAAATTACACACACAGTCATGACGGAAGAATAAAAGTGATATTTGACACCTAACTGAAAAAGTAGCAAACACCACTAAGAATCAAAAAGTATTTTGATACGTGTAGGAAGTATGTCTCTACTCCAGTCAAGGCTTTTGTTTTTAGTTTTTCCTACGAGCCTCCAAAAAGCTTCTTTCAAAATTTAGCTTTTTTCAAGTCCCTCACTGGTTTAAATTTTCCAGACAATACATTGGGCAGTGTGTTCGCTTTGAGAAGATATTTTTACTAAAGCCACCTGGAAAGCAGGCCAGACAAATGTCAGGTTAACAAGGTATTCACAGGAGTTAATGTTAAAAACCATAAATGTTAAAAACCAATAGTCATTTGCATCAAATATCTCTCACAGAGCTGTCAGTGTAATCATCCCCTCTCTCCTGCCATTGCACCTTATGTCTGCCCAAGCACAGGAACTTGGGGATACTGCAGTCTCCATCAAACTCTTGCTTTCTACTGTAAGATAATATCCTGAGACATACCACTACTAACAAATTGCTGTAGCTTTCACAACAAAAATATCGCCCAAGAAAATGAATTAGTTCTACCAGCATATGGATCGAGTTATTCAGCTACAAGGAGTTACTCAGGCTGAACTGGTGACGGAGGAGCAGAAGGGTTAACAAACCCTTACTGAACTTCCAAAATCATTCAGTTGTTTTAAATTTCATACATCACCTGACAGAAAACCTACCATAATGGCTTGGCGGAGAGAGATGCCATACAGACTCTTGTAATAGCCTTTTATCTCATTCATATCCACTTCATGGCGTGAAACCATGATTCTGATGAGCTGTTTGTGCCTTGTCCCTACGCCCTGTTAAAAGTAAAAAAAAAAAAAAAAGAAAAAAGATAGAAAAAAATTAAAAGAGGCTACTTATGTCATTGAAACATCTTGAATCAAACTTCTGTGCGTTACTCCATCAGACTTCTTTGTGGGTGTACGGAGCCACATTCTCTTCCTTTAACAACTGTCATGAGGGGGTCCTCTCATATCCCGCTTCTGCTCCCTACGAGCACAATTCACTTCTGTCAGGCTACCTCCACCACTGGGTTTCCTTTTTAAGTATTTCTTTCAGCTGTTTCTTAAGAAGAGGCATGTCCTTCACAATGCTTTCTAGACACCAGAGACAACCTAGACTTCAGTGCCTTTTTAATGATTTTTTTTTAAGAAAACAATGAACTCTGTTTTCATAACAATTCACTCAATTTTTCATATACTGCTCCTAAACAAGTCACAGGAGTTACAAAAATACGTGCACACCAGACTGTTTAATGATCTCCAGCTGCCTCACTCAACTCAGGTTCCAGATTTCTCAGAAGGACCATAGATGTCTTGTCAAAGATGAGGCTTTTACAAGGTTTTTGTCCAGATCTGTAGTTGCTTTCCTATTTGCTTTTCACTAATATTTTTGTGGTTTCACAAATAATAAAATTTCCAGTTATATTTCTGTCACCGTCTAAAGTAAAATGTATCTCTGAGGACGGACAGATGCCTTCCTGAACACACTATATCACACAGACAGCTTCTGCTATGGAAAGACATTCAGAGGTTTCAAAGGAAAGAACAGAAGGAGAGAGAGAAATATGCTGAATTTCCTTCTGCAGTCCTTTTTTTATCACACAAAGGGCTTAGAGAACTCTAGCCAGCTTGTTATTTTTTGGCTTACAAAGCACTCCATGTTTACAAAGGTAAGTTCTTTCTTCAGGTTACCTTCATTGCCAAGTGGAGTTTTTCAGCAAAGAAAGCTGGCTTGCTTGTGGCACACTTCACTGTAATGAAACAATGAGATAAGATCTCATCTGTTATACACGTAACAAGTAGCAAAAGGCAAAAGTTCAGAAAGAAAACACTTTAAAAGCAGTCTCACTGTTCCTACTAGCATATCCTATTTATCTACTTCTTTGTTCCCTGTCTTCAAAATATGGAAGAAGTAGCAGTTCCTTGCCTCTGTCTATTCAGAAAGCAATTTAGTCTGCAGAGAATAGTTACAAGAATGTGCTCCCTAGTTTACTGCTGCAAAATTAAGAAACATGTCACCGTTCCCAAGAAGAAAAATGTGAAAGTGTTTGTACCTTCTACAGTAGAGCTGGTGGTTAAGATCTGATGTCTTCTAAACCAGGGTATACTAAGTACTTGACCTCCAGTTACGATTTTAAGGAGGATCTGATGGGACTCATTCTTTTATTCAAAGTTTGCTTGACTGTGATATAAAAGCTGAGAATTAGATGGGTGTCTGGTTTCTGATTCCATCCTTGGTCCACTAATATAAGTAATTTAAGAGAGTCACTGCCTCACCTTATTGTTCATGAGGAACAGTTAAGAGTCTTAACACACACCTTTATTACAAACCTTATAAGAATATTTGCTTGAACAAAACTGCAGAAGGGAAGGTTATATTTTTAACAATCATTTATTATAAATGTCTTTGAAAACAAAATTTAGATACAAGTGGGTTTCATTTGGTTTTTTGGAGGCTGGTTCAAAACTATTGGAATTTGATGCGTTATGCTTGTTCTGACAGCTTTTTGGGGCATATTGACTTTCTGTAAAGATCTTCCTATATTGATGACACATCTGTTCTCATTAAAAGACACTTCTATGTATCAGAGGAGGTATTTCTACTCATTTGTCAACCTTTAACTGACTTGAAATAACTCAAATCACTATGTTCGGCCTAGTTTTCCGAAGTACTATTAAAGTTTCTCAATGAAGCAGGATAAGCCCAGAATGGCTTCCTATCAGAGCAAGAAAGATGGAAGTAAAAAGAGGTTTTCATACATTCAGTACATATACTAGGTTAAAATCTGCAGAACCACTTACCAAGGGCAGTCAGGCAGTTCTCAATATCACCTTTCAGCTCCAAATCTAGTACCTTGTTCATGTCATGCTTGCTGTATTTGGCGTACTTCTGAAAGACTAAACAGGGGAAGAAAACTCCCTGAATAGTGATGAAAACACGGTATACTCATTGTGTTGCCTCTGCCTTATTCTGACCTCACTGCTGCAGCAGTGCTCACAGATTGATTGCAGGCCATCATTCTCATTTTCTTCAGCCAGCACCACCTAAACAGCATTGTTACTGCAAGGACTGGTGAAGTCAGCAGAAGGAATGGGACTTTGTTAGGATGGTAGGGTTTGTGTTCCCACTGGTACAGATAAGGTGGTTCAATGACTCCACTGGAGCCTGTGACATTAGGTGATATCCCTCTATCAATCAAGGGCAAACTGGCTGAGGAGCAAGAACACATTGGAAAGCATTCAGAATCCCTGCCACACTGATTCATTGGCCTTGTGATCAATAGCCATGTGAGACTTCATTGTAACAGTTTTCCTAACAACCTAGATGATAATCCTCATTACTAGTCAGGAAAGAACAGCCAAGCTGCCAACTGCACCCTTAGTTAGCAAGCCTGTGTCCTATTACAGAGACTTTTGCAGCAGTCAGAGACACATCTTTATAATCTATGTCTTCTCTGAGTTCATGACCACGCCATGTTCAACATACAATTCCTCTGAAGCACAAAGTTTCATCCAACCTACCCCTTCGGAGATGTGGATAGCTTCTTGCAGTAAGAATGGTAATGAACACATTGATATCTATTCCCCTCTTTTTCTCTCCAGCTTCATACAAGGCCTGTCATAAACAGCAATTAGTAAAGTTAACATCAGTATAGTAAAACCCAACAGAAATACTGTACTTCAGAGGTTACCAGCCCTAGGCAAGCCATTGCTTGTCAGTAATGAACTCTAGCCCTTGACATGATCCATAACAAATCTTTCCACAACCTCAGACTCTCTCTCGCCTATCAAATAATACTTCATACTTCACTTATGTCATAATAGTACCTGGAGAAGACTATGCAGCTACAAAAAATGTTTTCAGATATTTTACTATCACCGTCTAGCTCTCCTGGGTATACTACTTTCTTGGATGAAGATATTTTTCATATGTCATGATGTGCTTACAGTCTGCATGGGCAAATATTTAGGACCGGCAAGCTTTCTTCAGACAAAATTATCTCTGATGTTAATTGGAAAAATGTGAAGGAGCAGCCTACGCACCAAGCAATCCTTGTCTTTCCAGGAGTGACTATAACGGACATTGATAATCAAATCAGTCTTCAGCATTATCTGGAAGTCCTTAAACCTCTCTAGAAATTATACTTAAAGACATCCATGCAGCACGAAAGAAGATTTAACAACACTCTGCACCAAGAGAAATAGTATTAAACTTTCGAGCTTAGACAGAGTGTTAATTTACTGACCTTTCATATCTATGGTTGATGAAGAAACTAAACTCCTTATGTAGCAGGGATAAAAGTAGTATTGTTCAGTGGCCTTATCTTGGTTGGATTTTTAAAAAATCAATTTGAAATGAATTTACATTTAAATTGTAAGAATGATGTACAATTTTATAGCTGAAAACTCAGGAAAAACTGCACAGGTTTACCAAGATTTTAACAAAAATAATCACATTAATGGTGGAAGAAATAAGGGAAAGATCGGTTGCTCATTTTAGAATTATTCAGAAAATGACTGTGAGGTTTACCCAACACTGTGGAAAGGTTTATAACTGTAAAGCAATAGCTATAGATAACATACTGCGGAGTTCACACTGGTCAAGGTATAGTAGCTAGTTCTGCACATACTTGAGCACACCCTTGCCCTTTAATTCATGAAATGTGTTACAAACAGAAGGAAGTTTGTGTCTAATTTCTCCAGCTGTTAAACTCTACTTCAAATGATCTGCACACTTAACATGAACTAGAAGAGGTCTTGCAGAAGTGTTTCTGAAGCTAGATATTACACTGATGATTTAATTTCCTTCAGATAGCGAAGCTTACACGAACTTTTAAAAATAGTATCCCCTCAGAAAAGGTTGCTATGTAACATGTAAACCTCTGTTAGGTCCGCAGTGCACAAGACTCAGGTAGAACATTCGCAGCCAGAGTTTGTAATTTCAGGTAGGCCAGATGAAGAAGATCTGCAGAGTGCCAAGTATTATCTTACCCTGGCATCACTGTCAGCAAGATCATCATTCACATGAGAAACTTCACATCGGTCAGCCTACACACATAAATAAACAAACAAACAAACAAATAAATAAATAAAATATCACTGGTACTCACAACCATTCAGTTCACCAAATCTCAGCATTTTAGATTTCTACCCTACCACTCTCATAAATAACACGTAATTGCAGAGAGATACAGTTATGTCAATCATTCTCTGAATAAAGCTGTTGTATTTGTTAATCAATCAGAGCTCATATTTCTAAGGCCATCGGAAGCTTATTTCTGAAGTCCTTCCTAGATTAAAAGCCACAGGAACCGTTGTTTCTTAATGCAAAGTTACAGGCTTGGAAGTTGTGATTTGCTCCTTGATGACCATTCAATAGACTCATTTCAAGTTGGTTTGAAATAAAAGACTGAAAATCAAAATGAGGCACATGGATGTATCAAGAAATAATCCCGCATGCATGTACAAGCTTTACATATATGTCCTCAACAATCATGTAATCAACTATTCATGCATTTTAAAAGGGTCTTTTTATTGGGCAGATCCAGTGTTTAAACTCATTTGCTTTTGAACCTAAATTCATCAAACACTTTGTCCGTTTGTTAGCTCTCTGCCCCTGTCCCATTATCTAACTGCTAGAAACCTATCTTAACAGTGAGGCAAAAGTTTTATTTCTCTAATTGTAAGCACTTCTTCTTTTTCTATTTCTAGTCAATTGACAGGTCATTATTCCTGTTGCTTTTTCAAGTGCTTACTGACAGTTACCACAAAAAAATCTTAAAAGCATAACTGTTAACAAAAAACATGGTTGTTTTTCAAAATACATTTGAGATAAAATCTCATTATAGCTTGTTTAAGAACAACTTCATATGGTCTAAGATATGGAAATAAAAAATAATGCAAGGAAACAAATATTACCTAAACCCTTATTTATTTTATGTCTTTCTCTAAAGCAGTCTTGACTACACAGATTTTTTATTAAATCTCACTCAAAATGCTTAAGCACAGCATACCTTGGCTAGAGCAACCAAAGCCTTCTGAAAGTCTCCAGATGTGTCAGAGATAATGTCTTGTATCAGATCTCTCTTCAGCACTGAAAGCAAAAGGATTAGTAGTTTGCTTTGAAGTTATCTACTATTTTGTCTAGATGATCTTTAAAGGTCCCTTCCAACCTGAACCATTGCATGAGCCTATGACTTTTTCCAGCCCTTTCTTCATTTCCCACTTAAACATGCCCACTAAAAATGGAGTTTTTTTACTTTATCTCATTTAGCTAGAAGAGAAGAGGTATATTTGTAACATGCCCTCTTCTACCTGGGACATGCTGTGAAACTGGAGGCTAAACCAAAAATCTGCTGAGAAAGCCCTGCTCTGAGTTCTTGTGAGTGGTGTTGTCTTGGGCTTTTGATTGTGAAGCACAAAAAAAAAAAAGCTTGAAGCTTTTTCTGAGCCATTTCTCTTTCATTCTTTTTTATGGTTGTTCTTATCAGCACTGAACTCAATCACAAAACTCTTCCAGAAAATCAGACTATTAATTTGGGCTTCTATCTGAGACTATTTGAATGGAAGTCCTCTGGAAAAGTTAGCCCATAATCTCAGAAAAAAATATTTAATTAGACAACACTGACTGACTGCAGTAAACTCTACGTATATGAGAGATACCACATTATGTTTTATTTATCTCTTCAAAGATTGTCTCCTTTCAGTTCACTGGTTGCTCCTACTGTTTATGTTATCCGTGTTGCTAACTCGCAACACAGATAAAACTAAGCTTTTATTTTAAGTCTAGTGATATCTTAAGCGGTCAGCCAAAGCTTAGTTACAATAGAAGAAAAGCAGCTGGGTTTTTCTTGCATGCTAGAAAGAATGTAATATATGGCCCATTCCACGAGACATCTGCAGTTCTGGCGGTGATGAAATGCCTTTTCCTCTGTATTGAGATCTATGTAGGTCAGTAAAAGTCAGTATGGCCTCCCTTCCCTGCAACTCTTTCAATCTTATGTGAAGCTTCACTGGCCTCCTACAATGCCAACTCAGCTTCTCATATTGAGAAGAGGGGCTGTGACTGTAATGCGCCTGATATAGAGTTACATCATTAATACTTCTTTCTTGCTCTGAATTACCTTCCTTGTAATATCTGCTGGCTTCTCTGATCTCTTTGTTGGTTCTTGAGGACAGAATCTCAATTAAGGTATCTTCATCTGTTCCAAGCCCCTGATAAAAGTGATTGAATTTTTAGAAATGTTATTTGATGCAGCAAACTTAAAATTTAGAAGACCAGAAATAAGATGAAAATCATGGAACTGGCTTTGATGGCCCCATGTGGAATAAGAGAAAAAAATAAAGAACATTATGCTGCCATATAATATTGTTTTTTCAGCTCTTTTGCATTTAACTTTTTATCACATCTAATATCCTGGTACACAAAAGAAGTGCTAAAGGGACCAAGCAGTGCACATAGAAGATACAAATGTAAAATTAATGATGAAAAATACTCCCATCCCTTTTTATTTTCTCTTCTGTAAACATGTACATAAACACTATGACTTTCTACCACTATATCAGCAACCTGTTTTCAGAAGGCAGAAAGAGTTCATTCTCTCAAAAGAATACTGTTTGCAGCCAGACTCCTCTGACCCTGAAATTCAGCAGAGATTGCTGGGTCTTGTTCTCAGAACCTGCATTACCAGTATAGATTTATTTTACAGAATGGGGTTGAAATGAAGACAATACATAAGCTTTGACATCCAAGTCCAGTGTCACTTACAGGCCCTGATATTTATGCTCTTTAGCAAAATTTTTCTCTGAAGATTTTGCCTGACCTTCATAGCGGCTCTTAATTCTTCAGCATCAAATTGAGCTGGAGTTTTGAGCAGAGCTACAACAACATCTTCCAGGTGGCTTTTCAGAACTTTTTTCAAGGCTTCTTCCAGACTCTGTGACAGGAAGAATAAAAAACACACTAAGTTAGTGAATGGTAAAAAGTTGCTGTTCAGCTACAGTCCAAAAATTTAGCCTGATCTCTGAGAAATCTTGGTCTACATCGTTTCTTTAGCTACTGGAAAGCAGGAAATCTAGGCTAAAATGAGACATCAGACTTCTGTTCTAAGTTGGCCTTTAAGAGTTTACACTTAGAGTTACAAAGCAAAAATATCACTTTCCAAGGAGCAAACCCTCAGTAACTCTGGTATGCCAACTATGCAATTGTAATTTCAATTCGGAGTTACAGGTTCAACTGGAGAAATTTTGTTAAAGAGAAAAGTAAGAGCAATTAAAACCTTTTCCAGAAACACACAGTAATTTCCAAGCTTCTCAGTTCCAGGGACTAGCAGTTTTACTGTTTAGAGGTAGAACACTGCACCCTATACACCCATCACCATACCAGTGCTGGTATAGTTGTAGAACAGCAGCATGGTCCTACAGTTGTCCTTTCTTATTTAGTATTCTATGTGGACTTAAATATTCAGAGACACTCCTCCAAGTCCCTTTCTCCAATTCTCTCTTTCTCTCAGCAGACAACCTCCCAACCAGTACTGAAATCTCTGCATTCCCAGTGTATTAGTGATTCAAAGGATCTCTAGGGCATTCAAAAAGCTGGAAAGTCAGAACTTCGGAAGTTTCCATCTTCAGTTCAAAATAGTGGCCGCTGCATTCAAAGGCTCAGTACTGGTAATATAGTTGCAGGGTATTATCATTCTGTCACAGTTTTCACAAACTACAAAAGGCAGAAGAGTGGATCTTTTTGTTCTATAAAGCCAAAGCTATGTCTACCATGTGAGCCAGGAGCAACTTTGATATTCTGGATATAAATGTAAGCCTGGCTTGAATATACTTTACCTTTCCTTTAGCCTGCTGATAGGCAGCTTTGATCTGCTGACGCTGAGCATTTGTTCTTTTAGTCAAGATGCCAATGATGGTGGCTTCATCCACACCTATGACTCACCAAACAAAAACATGTTTAACATAATAGAAATTTTATAATAGACTCCAGTGTATCATTTAGCCAGATAATAATTTTTATATTTTATTATTTGCTTTATGTCATATTTTGATTTCTTGACATAATGAAGTTTAACCAAAGGAAAAACTATAATCATCTACTGACTTACAATTAGTGATGTAGCAAAGAATTCAAACAAATAGATTCCCATAGAACACAGAAACCTGTTTCTACAATTTCATATAAAAAGTCTTACAGTGTTCTGAGTTCAGAACTTACACTACAGACTAAAGCAAAAAAAAAAAAAAATAGATGGCATACTCAGTAAGTCAAATTGAAAAAAGTTTCAAAGTACAGGCAAAGTGCCAAATATGAATTTCATTAGAAGAGAGAAGTACAGTAGAAGTATAAACTACATTATCAGCATTTACCTCTTGCAGGGATTTTACGGAAATCAACTAAAAGAGTATTAGTATAGTAAGTTGTAGTATTTTTTGATTCTCTAAAAATAGCCTTTTTACAACTCTTCCTTCAACATGTTTAAGTAATTTAATGTGTTATTAAGGTCTGAAATTGAAATACAATATCAGAATATCAAAGAGTTGATATTCTTTACCAAGTGGCATAATTTAATGTATTGCCAAGCTTTTAAAAGCAGAATCACTTCTCTTGTTTGCCATTGCTTTGTGCTCTGGTATTTTATTCAGCGCTATTCTCAAAACTTCCTAAGGAAAAGACCTAATGTAGCAGGTTAAATGTTTACTGCTCTTACCTCTTACGGTAATAGCTTTGTCCAAAGCAATAACGTCAGCTGATGGATCAAAGCTAGGGTATGACTGTACTCCAGGGCCACCTTTCGAACTTTTCTGCAGCGGAAAAAAAAAAAAAATGCTCATACCAAAAAATATATTTGCAAAGAAGCAGTTTTAGGTGCTTAAGTAAACGATGTATATTGGATTGTTTATTGTAGGACTATCAAGTAACACATATGGTTTTGTAACTACAGAGGACTAAATAGATTCAGTAATACATATGAATTGGACCTATTCCTTTCACACCTCTTATGTTAAACAGAAAGTACTTCATATATTGTTTTAGGCACCTGAAGATCTATATCTCAGAGTAAGCTGGATTCCACTAGAAAATACTTCTTAACTGTAATGTTAGACAATTATGTCTAAATTTTAAATGCTCCAAAACCACAATTAAACCCTACCTGCACCACAAGTAAAGTGCTAATAATTTTCTTGCTCATCTTATGAAATTTGACTGTGCATCACCTTCTTTGAAATTTGAAACTTAAGCCTCATTTTCTTCACAAAAAGGATGGGATGGTGGAGCCAGAGGTTTATGCACAACATGTTATGGAGTCAAAATCAAAATCCACAAATGTCTAGAGTAGAAAACTTTATTTACTGAAATTTCCCTTCTATGCTCAATTTTTTTCAAGATGAAGGCTCTTCCAGGATCTCCTGTAACTTCACAGTGTGCTGCTTTACATTTGCTGAGAGTCGTTTCAGTAGCTTTACGCTTTATCACAAAGAATCTCCACGTCATCCCAGTTTAATAACTTTTGACTCACCACCACAATAAGCCTGCCTTCTAGTCAGTATCAGTACTGATTGTCTGAGATGTTTTATTCCATACTGTGACTCTTTCCACTGTAAGCACAGCATATGATATGAAAACTAGGACATCTACTAGTAAGTTTAGTTCCTCCTTTATATTCCTGGGCTCCAACTCATGCTTCCTGTACACCAGCCTACGAGTTCCTCTTTTTCTCATGTGCATCATTTGAACGTGTTCTTACAAATTCACACATCTCTACATCAGACATCAGATTACTACTTTAAAGAGGATGACTTCAGTGAATCAGTGATTGGCCCCCGGGAATTACAATTTCATTATAGTTAACTAGTTTTGCGTAGGAATTGATAAGACAGACATGCAAATAAGACTAATCTTTCATCTGATATCAGATCTACTAGGTTACTAGATTATATTAAGTTATATACTGCAATAAAATTGGGTTCCAGTGTTTTGCCATTGGTTTTCCTCCCTCCCACGTATACTCACATGAAAGACTTTTGGTGGCCTATACCTTTAAATCACTTCAAAATGTACTTCAAAATACACATGAAGATGAATGCCTGTTTCAGAAATTCTGATACCATAGCCATGTTGACAGAGTTTCTGGGAAGAGGTGTATCAAGTTACAAACCATTTTTCATTAAGCTACAGACCATTTCTAATCATTTTCAGGACCAGTGCTACTCCAGGTTTCCCATTCTTACAATACTTTTGCTTGAACTATGATACACTTAGTTTCCCAATCAGTAATTGGTCTGTGTGATTTGAACCATGTAACTTTTGTTTAGAGTTGGCAGGTGATGCAATGCTCCACAATTGCTTGCTCACTCCTACACTCTTAGCTACCTGCAGAAATTTTAGATTAGAAATAGAACAGTAAACTACTTTGACTATTTTCTTATTTACTATGGCAATACCTAAGCATTAGCATCGACCTACAGTTACCTCAATTTCTGCAAAAGAATAGAGCACTACCCATTTAAGAAGGGAAAACAAGTAATTTTTCCTTTTAAATACTCAAAATGAAAATCAGTCCTGCTTTTCCATAAGATACTGTGCAGAATCCGAAAAAAGGCCAATGATGATGTGATTTGACATTGAGCACGCAAAAATAATGAACAGATTCCTTCATAACAACTTTGGTGTGAAGAATATTATTTTTGCTAATAGAAACAGTGAGGGAACAAAAAGCAGACATTAACATTTTATCTAATAATGTAATTTGTGTCTGCTCAAAATAGATAATTTTTTTTTTGAAACACACTTACATAGCAAACTCTAGGGAAGGCTTGGCTTTAAAGCATGCATATAAATTAAAAATAATGTTCCTGGGTAAACTGGAGTGTCTTTGAATTTAGTATGAAGAGACAAGACGTATTCACAGTCTTTGGATAGAAATCAAATAATTCAGATCATCTACATGAGTATAAAAAAAAATATTTTTCTTGTATTGCAAGCTTGCTTGCCTTACATATGCCCTGTGTCCCATGTTCCACAGGAGGGGCAAAGAGCAATCATCATTAAAAACAACACACACCTAGGACCAAGCAGTGTAGCTGCAACCCAGCTGCTTCTTTCCCTCATAGCAAAACTGTAAAACTTACTTCCATGTTCAGCTGCCAGCAAAGCGGTAGGCACCTACAGGGCCCTCCTCCAGCCCTTCAGCCCAGCTCCTCCCTCCCCTCCCCTCTCCAAGACAGGACCCACCTACCCTCTTTCTGCCTCAGAAAACTCTTGCTTTGGAGCCCTTCCCTCAGGCCTGAGGGCACACAATTCAGCACTGACTATACTGCTAGAAAAAATGAAGCTGACTTTGAAGCTGTATTTATATGTCACTTAGAGCAGGTCTCATCTGGGTTAATGATGGTCAGAATACTGTGTAAGTTATAAGGATCAACTTTTACGCACACGCCATTTAAAGAAGATCAGAAAAGCATACTTACATTGCTATTAAACACAGTATTTTATCAAGAAGTTATAGTGTTTGCTGTGCCCTTCTTGTATTGACAGAAGAAGTATATGAGGCCAGATGAAGTGCTATAGTATCTAAAGTTCTGCTGTGTTTTATAAGAGCATATATAAAGGCTATATGCATCAGAATAATAACATTTTAAAGTCTCCATACTAGGTGCACTGAGTGACCGACAGTGACATGTACAGATGTCTGTCAACTAAGCAGATTTACAGAGTGGAGTGTATAATCATTTCAAAATGAGAAATAAGAATCAGTCTCACAGTTTCAGATCTGAGAAGAGGTAGGACCAAAACTGTGTTTTGGTTGATAGAGTGACACTTCTCAGGAATAAAGCTGGTAGAGACAGCACCCAGGAGAACTGCTAACACCAGCATTTCTTCTGCCTGTCCCCACCTACATTCTTCATGCCCAGCTGTAGAGATTTTGCTGTTCTTGGGGACGACTAGAGCAGAAGGCTTCTGCCCTACACTAAGTTGGGCTTGTTAAGCCTCTAAACTTTTGTTTCTATCCTAATTTAAATTCCAGACACAGTAAAAGAATTGCATGTCTTATAAATTAAGTCTTTTTTTCCTTCCTTTTTAAATAAAGTTTGGCCTACAGATCCATCTATGTCCATCTAGTAAACAAACAACATAATTTTAACAGAAGTCACAGTAGGCAATGAGTCTTGAAAGGGGGTAAAGACCTTACTCTGCTTGAATTGGCTCAGAAAGTTAAGAAATCACCTTACATACAAAACCAATTGCCTGCTTTATAAGAAACTATGGCTAATAAAAAAAACGAAGACTGGAATCTAGCAAGACAGCTAGCCCCCTGACAGAGTAGAGTTCTTTCCCAATTTGTTGACTCATGCCACTCCAAAATACAAGCAGGTCATGTAAACGGAGGAATAAATTCAGTCAAAATATTATTTTAATTCAGCATGAAGAGAATTGGAAGAACTGAGGGCTTTCTGCCATATATTTTCCTTTACTTTTGAGCTCAGGATGAAGTCTATGAACAGGGAGATGGAAAAATATATGTACCTACTGAATGGTACAAACAGAAGGTACTGTAGAAAAGTGTGACACTTCTCTGTGGTCATTCCATATAAGATACCTATTTAAGAGTTATTCTGTTTAATAAAACATTTTCCAGGCCCATAAAATATGTGTCCCACTTCCCCAACTGCAATGTGTAGATGTCCCATTTAAAAGGAAAGAAGATCAAGAACTTAAAAATTCTCAGTTTGAAAAATACTGTGCTTTTTATGCATTTTTATGCATGTTATCATTCCCAATTGGAATAATCAGCACTGCAACTGCAATGAAAACTCAGATATCTAGACCGAAATCCCTAACTCTAAATAGGCATTAGATCTAACACAATAATTTCTTTTATAGTGGGGAAGTCTACTGAATATGCATGAAGACATTAGAGAGAAAAACAATGTCATCCTTGGAAAATCCAGTGGAAAGTTTTAGCAGAGCAAACCCCAGATGATACAGCTCTTACTTATGTGGCTTTGCCTAAGTTCTTAGTCACAAAATCAGGGTTTTGCTCTTATGCTTCTACAAGATTGCTTTCCCTTATTTTCCTTACTTTCACAGGAAAAGACACCTCTACAGTGCAAAAGCAGCAAACTTGTTGAAGTAAAAACAGCTGTTTCTGTTTCTGAATTTTCATACAAAGCACATTAGTTTTCCAGCAACTCCAGTTTTACTGTAGATTTCTACAGCAACTTACTACAACAGCAAAGAGAAAGCACAGGAAACAGCCAGCTCCAAATAAGTTTGCTTTCAATATTTTATGCTATTTTTTTTTTCCAATTCATTACCTACACTAAATAAAAGCAGTAATTGTCCAAGCCCTTATGTGTACACAAAATGTTTCAAAACTGAAAGAATTTCTCCTGCCCACACCCATATTTTCCCTTGCCAGCAAATAGAACCGACAGAAAATTGCACCAGGTCACTTGACAAATTAAGTGTAGAATTCTTAAAGTTGGTGGTGTCTACGGAGAGAAGTAAAGAACTACAAAAACCTACCTTCTTCCTCAGAAACACTAATTTTCAGGGTCACACAGTCAGGAGTAAGAGAGCAGAGGGCTCGCGATGCTTTTATAGCACTGTGCAGGAGACACCACCTAGCAACCAGCATGTTTGCACAGCCCCAGCAACCAACTGCTCCTTGCAGCAGCTAAATCTGGATACTGTCCAAAACACAAAACCACACACAAAAAAGCCATTGCACAACTATGTGCTGGCGAAAGCACAAGCAGATTTCAGGAAGGAAAAGACAACGAATAAGCATGCCTTAGTAGCTCACCTCCCCTGCCATGGCCACATCCCTCACTGTAGTAAACTGCCATAAAACTTTCACGATTGTCAGATTAATATTTTAAAAAACTAAGCTTGAGCTACTCCCTTCACATTTTGATATATCTGAATATGTTAAGAAATCTCTTTGCTCAGTGAAACTTCAAGAAAAAGAGCAGAGAAGAGTCAATGCAGCTTCTACACTTCACTGAGCTCTGGTGGCTCCTAGCTCTGCTTCTTCTGCACATGAGCCCGTGGCAGAAATGGGCCAGGAATAAGATGTGTCTGAAACTCCGTATTTATACCTTATATACATGTTTTTTGAAAGGAAACACTTGGAAACTGGCAGGCTTAATAGAAGGGCAATAACTGGCACCTTTGTAATTAGAAAGAGGTTGAAACATTCAGACTAAATTCTGAAGTTCAAAGTAACAGTGGTTTGCACAAGATGAGGGATTTCACCAACCTGCTAGAAGTGGTTTTCTGCAAGCAGTTCCTCAACAAGCTGGACAAACACATTACCCAGAGCACATCCAGCACAGCATGAGGTGTATCACTAACATCTCAGATTGGCCCGGAACATGATGCCCATGAAGAAATACCACTTCCTGAACTAGAAGCATTTGCAACTAGCGGATTGGCCTCCCAGCTGACTGTCGTCCTGTTTTCTGCTGACTTGGACCTGCTGCAACGTGCTGGTACCTCCAGAATTAGAAAGTATGGCTGATCCACTTCTCACGAACATACATTAAACACAGTCTGCCCTTGAAACCCAAACGTAGCAATTAAAATCAGGAGGAAGGGGAACAGACTGCTGGGTAGCATTAGAGGGGACACTTATGAATTCCTGAAATGTAGCACATCATTGCACACACAGTCCAGCATTGCTTTCTCCTTCCTCTGTTTAGAACAGCTCTGTAGGAACTGTTCGGGCCCTAAATGTGTCCCCCCAGCAGGATATGGTTGTGAGTGCTTGTAGTGAGCTCAGGATCAGCGCAGCCAAGGGGGTCTCCATCCCACCAGGCCAAGGGAGGAGCGTTTGGTAGTGCTGTGGGAGGTGGTGACGAGGCCACCCCAGCCCTGAGACATACCTGAGCCACTGCCCTGCTGCCTAGCATCTGGTCTGGGACAGGCTATGGGACCTGGGCTGGGTCCAACCTGCAGACTGATATCCTGTCCTGTCCCATGCCCATCTCCATCTCCGGGAGGTGTCCGATGCCTGGGAATGGGGCTGTCCCCAGTGCCACCCAGTTGTCCTGGCTGGGGTGGTGGGACGGGAGGGGCACCAGGCCCTGCCTTGCCAGCCCTCATGGGGACC